AATGATTTACTGGTCCCCTCAAGAGGGTCAGACATAACATTCACCATTCTATTCTGCCTGGGGGATTTCTGACTGGACACTGGAGCTGCGCTCTTCTTGGAGGACTCCCCTTTTGCGATTGTCTTCCTTTTCATCTGCTCTACTCGTGCAGCTAGGGCAGCAGTGGGCTGTCCATCCCACCTCCTCATGTTTTCTCCATGGTCACAGAGGAAAAACAACAAGGTGCCTCATGGTGTGTACCTTCTGCTGCCTTTCTCTTGGGTGGGGAAACGTTTACTTCTAATGGCTGAGACATCAGCCCGTGCAGGTGCAATTTTGGACATGTCCTCTCCATTTTGTGGACACTCTGAGACATTTCCTCCACAGCTGAGACACAGGAATGCTGAGATGAAGGGAGATTTCCCTCATATTGCCGGAGCTTGCCAACCACTCCATCCACTGTTAAGAGTGTGGGGGTCTGTCCACCAGGACACTATTGCCAATGCTTTTGAGTGTGCTTCTGGTGTGCTCTTCAGGAACTTTCACTACACCAGGTGTGTGCAAAAGGCCTGATCTGGGTCCATGGGTGATTGCTCATTATTCAGATCACCATAGATCATCTCAAACACAGCCTGTTCCCTGAGGTTTGGGATGCCTTTCTCAATGCTGGTTCATTTGCCTAGCTGACATAGGGTATCATCCCTGTAGGGGTGCCTCTCCCTTACACTGAGCAGGAGTCGCTTCCCAAGACTGAGTCTGCTTCCCTATTTCCCTATCAATGCCAGCATCCTTGGCCAAAGATCACAGCTGCCTCGCCTCTCTCCCTTCCATCTCAAAAGCACTGGCTCCATTGTCCCAGCATCGGAGCAGCCAGGTGCAAATCTGCTCACCTCCCAGGCGGCCGAAATCTCTCCGCATATCTCGCAACTCAGTTGGGGACAGAGATCAGTCAATCACCTCTGGCCCTTCCTCCTATTCCCGTGATGGGCCTGGCTCATCCTCATCTCTCACTCTGCTAACTGACTTTCTGGTATATTTTGTTTTCTGTATCGGGGCAACTGACACTGGCACTGAATGGCTCTCTGGCTCAGTCGCTGTGCTGGTGGGGGTGACTGAGACTGGCTCTGCCTATCCCCCTGGTTCAGATACTGTTTCAGCTTCTGTAGCCTTTTCTTCCCCTTGAGGGCTGTGGCTCATATTAAAGAGGACACAGTAGGCATGGGCAAGTCCCCAGCACATTGCAGCGATTTGTGTCTCCTGGGTTTTGCTAGTTTGGTAGCACACCCTTTCTAAGCACTCCATCAGCTTCTCAGGGCTCTGCATTTGCTCAGGAGTGAAATTCCAAAGCATTGGAGGTGACCACCGACTCAGGCCTTTGCCCATCTTTTCCCACACCCCTTGCCACTAACTATTATCTGACCTCGGAGCAGGTTTCCAGGCACTGATATTGTTAGAGAAATACCATATGGCCAAAAGCGAAATCAGGCAGACATTCAGAAAGCACAGTGCCGCAATCACACTGGCCTGCAGGCTCGAAGGAGAGCTGAACCTCCCCAAAGCCGAAAGGATCTCTTCCCCTGGCTCACCCACAGAGGGGGTGAGACCCCTAACAAAAGCCCAAACGACAAACAGACTCTGGCCCACCCCCACACACAGCGATTCAAAGGCAGCATAAGCGTTCAATAGCCCGTATAACAACATAAGACCCTTTATACATTTTCCACCGATAACAAACGCCACCACTGGGATTATACACTGAATACAAGGAGTAATCCAGACCCATCACGCAAGCACGTGGGCCAGCATTGCAAACATTTTCTTATCAAACAAATACAAATGCAAACAGAAAAATTACACCCAACAGATTGCTCTATCACACTCTGGTCAGGGTCTGTCCCTTTTTATTCTTATTTCAGCCCTTTGAGCCCCATGTTGGGCGCCAATTATAAATGTGCTCGTTTAAGACCTGACGGGATCAGAGAGCATGTTGCTGTTGCCCCTCCCCCACACTCTGGGCTGGAAGTTAGGCACAGACCCGGGCTAAAATAAAAAGAAATTTAATACAACAGTGTGATAAAACAATCTGAACAACAACAGTAGCAATGATAACAACAATAAATAGCAATAACAGTGAACAAGACAAACATATACAGAGAAATACCACAAAATGGTCAGGGAACAAACCCTCTGCGTGTGTGTGCTTCAACCCAAAAACCAAACGTGAAAGTAAAAAGAGATTCCACCCCTGGAGCTAACGTCAGCATGGTATGAATAACCCGGCTGGAGATCCCTTCCCCCTCTCTCTCTGCTGGGGAAACTCATCCCTATCCTAGTTGAACCAGGACATCTATTTAAAACCCTCCAAAAACAATGTACCCTCCCCATAGCTCCCCAAAACTACATTAAATATAATTAAAGTGCCAAAGCGGAAGAGATATAGTCTAATCTCAATGGTGGCCAAAGCAAATTTCAGTATAAATTTATAAGTATCATTCCTTTATGGGTAGCATTAAAAGATGGATCTTTGTGAAGGTACAGAAAGTGTAGTTACAGAAAGTACTTACTGAATGTAATTCTGGAAAAATCTCCTCCATGGCAACATACTCCATAAAAGTGGCAAATCCCTCATTCAGCCAGAGATCGTTCCACCATTCCATAGTTACTAGATTGCCAAACCACTATGCAAGACCAAAAATGTTATTCTTTTTCAGAAATAAAACCAAATTAGTGCAATAACACCCTATCCATCCTCAGCTTTAGCTTATGGCAAAATCAAGTTCAGTCAAAACCATGGTAGTGCTTTTGCACAAACAACTTCCTAAATCAGAGTTTGTACTCTGCCTGTTGTATTGGAGAAAATACACCTGCAGGTATTCTGAATACATTGTACAGCCCAGTCACAGTGAGGGCATAGGTGAATTTAAGGATAGAATTAAATTTATTTTTTTTAAAAAAAGAACCCACCGCATTTAAACAAAGACCTCCCGAATCTAGTACCTGATGGGCAAGCTCATGTGCTATCACTGCAGTTATTAACTTTTTATCTCTTGCTGAAGAAGTATTACTGTCAAACAAGAGTGCTGTTTCTCGGAAGGTGATCAAGCCCCAGTTTTCCATTGCACCAGACTGAAAATCAGGAATTGCTACCAGATCTGGAAGAGATTTGAAAGAAGCTTTTGAAAACAGCTACTTAGAGTAATTCTGTATTTCAGGTCTATCTATTCTATTACATAACTCCTAAAAGCCTCATAGTTAAATCTTGTGGTGTGGACATGTGCTCACATCTCAAGCATAGAAGTCCCACACATTTATCGTCATGTTTCTCTCTTAAACAACTTAAAGGACAGACACCGCCTACAGATCTTGCATGCACACAACTAACAAGGAAATGTGGCTGCCCCTACTGAAAGTAAGGTCTTAGAAAACTGCATTTCATTATCTTTACAGTCAAATTAATACATGTAAAGTATGGCCACAGATTTTGCACTGGTGACCATGGTTCACAAACTGAGAATTGTGTATCTCCCTACCTAGGCACATGACGTTAAATGTACACTGAATTACTTTTCTGAATGTTACCTACAAATATAAGCAATCCACTGTCAAAAGATCATAAAAATTTTCTATCTTGGGAATCACTTAATACTTGGATTCAGTCTAACATATAATGAATTTTAAAAATAATTTGGGGGCAACCTTATTTCACAGATGTTTGATGCAATTTTTTTCTTTTTAAGAACACCTTTTTCAGAACAAAAGTTCCCCTACATTTCTCAGAATTGATTAGGGCTGCTTCTTCTGTTTTAAAAAAGTTCAAAAGAACTTACCTAATTTTTCAAGAGGGTAGTTTATTAGAAAGTATTTTTGATAAAATTCCAGAAGTTTCACTGCTGTGTTTAGGGCATATCCAACTTGATTTAAATGCTGTGGTATGGCGTAGATAGATACCTAGCCCAAACAGAGAATGGAAAACATTTTGAAATGTATAGCCACAAAAGCTTTAGAAGTAAAAGAGAAGCTGGCAGAAGTTCCTGAAACAGGTAGAACATGGTTTTGAGAGTACACACACAAGTTAAAAACACTAGTTATGAAGCTGTCAATAAACAGTTATTTGGTTTGCTAGGGCTTATTCAATAATCAAAATATGGAGAGACTATCCAATTGAACAATGTGTATGCAAGAATAACTCAAGGTTCACACCTTTAAGGAAGGTGTTCTGGAAGGGTCAACATGAAAAGAAATGGATTCATTTCCTTTTCTAATCACTCATGAGTTATTAAGTGACCCTCCCTGCATAACTCAATCTATAAATTTAGGCAATCAGTATGCTAATACTAGTATCATAAATTATCTCAACAAATAATAACTGGCACAAAGTTCATTGTGCAGGGTTAAGAACTGCCGGGATCGGACAGCAGAAAGCTGTTGCCCTTCCCCCACCCGCAGCCAGTCGGGCTGGAAAGTTAAACACAGACCCCGGGCTGAAATAAGAAGAAATTTAATACAACAGTGTGATAAAACAATCTGAATAGCAGCAGTGGCAATTATAACAACAATAAACAGCAATAACAGTGAACAAGACAAAAGATATACAGAGAAACACTGCAAAATGTTCAGGGAACAAGACTGCCGTGTGTGTCGCAATCCCCAAAACCAGAAGCGAAAGTAAAAGGGCTCCACCCCTGGACCTGATGTCAACATGGTATGAATAACGCGGCTGGAGATCCCTTCCCCCTCTCTCTCTGCTGGGGAAAATCATCCCTACCCTAGCTGAACCAGGACACAATCCACCCCTTTAGTCTATAGCATCTGCGTCATGTCCAGCTGCCATATAGCAGTTAACAAGAACAAAACAATAATTTACAAAGGCACAGCATAATTTAAGGCATGTTCTCACCCAGAATCAATTCCTCCTGTAGTACACATTAGACCTCTACATTGTCCTGCATAACCCACGAGGTACATCCAGGTCCTTGGGCAAAAGCAATCCCGTGGATGGGTTTGCATTTACCTTTACCTGGCGCAGGACCAAATCAGACCATTTTTCCCAATATATTCCTCATGTGCATCACAGGGACTTTATCCCCATCTACAGCACGTGGAGGTTTCGACTGAGCCAGGCCAGCTCGACTGGCAGATCCTCTTGTGTTCACTAGACAGGTGGCTTTTGCTAGATGCATGTCCCAGTCTTTGAAGGACCCATATCCTAGTGCTTTCAATTTAGATTTAACATTCCATTATAGCGCTCGATCTTCCCAGAGCCTGGTACGTGGTAGCGGATATGGTAGACCCACTCGATGCTGTGTTCTTCTGCCCAGGCATTTATGAGGTTGTTTCGGAAGTGGGTCCCGTTGTCTGACTCAAATCTCTCTGGGGTGCCATGTCACCACAGGACTTAGGTTTCAAGGCCCAGGATGGTGTTTCAGGCGGTGGCATGGGGTGCTGGGTAAGCTTCCAGCTATCCAGTGGTTACTTCCACCGTTGTGAGCATGTGGGGCTTCCTATGGCGGGTCTTTGGCAGTGTGATGCAGTTGCTCTGCCAGGCCGCTCCATATCTATATTTCAGCCATCACTCTCCATTTCGCTGGGGCTTCACCCCCTTGGCATGTCTGATTGCAGCACGTCTCATATCCGTGGATGATCTCTGCAATGGTGTCAATAGTAAAGTCCACTCCTCAATCTCGAGCCCACCTGTATGTTGCGTCCCTACCTTGGTGGCCCAAGGTCTCGTGGGCCCACCGAGCTATGAACAGTTTACCTTTGCGCTGCCACTCCAAGTCCAACTGAGCCACTCTAATCTTAGCAGCTTGATCTGCCTGCTGGTTGTGTTGACGTTCATCAGTGGCCCGATTCTTGGGTACATCAGCATCCACATGGCGCACCTGCACGCCAAGGTTTTCCACATGGGCTGCAATGTCCTGCCATACTTCAGCAGCCCAGATGGTTTTACCCTTATGTTGCCAGTTGTTCTGCTTCCATTGCTGCAACCATTTCCACAGGGTATTCACCACGATCCATGAGTCAGTGTAGAGGTAGAGCCTTGGCCAATTTTTCCGCTCAGCAATATCCAAAGCAAGCTGGATGGCTTTCACCTCTTAAACTGGATCGATTCACCCTGTCCCTCAGTAGCTTCAGTGACCCGTCATGTGGGACTCCACACAGCAGCCTTCCACCGTCGATGTTTTCCCACAAAACGACAAGACCCACCAGTGAAAAGGGCATATCTCTTGTCCTCATCCGGCAGCTCGTTATATGGTGGGGCCTCCTTAGCATGTGTCACCTTCTGTTCTGGTGACATCCCAAATCTTTGCTCTCTGACCAGTTCGTAATCACCTCTAGTATCCCTGGGCGGCTGGGGTTCCCTATTCGAGCCCATTGTGTTATCAAGGCAACCCATTTACTCCACGTGGCATCGGTTGCATGATGTGTGGAGGAGGCCTTTCCTTTAAACATTCACCCCAGCACCAGTAGTCGGGGTGGCAGGAGGAGCTGTGTTTCAGTGTCGACCACTTCTGAGGCAGACCGAACTCCTTTGTATGCTGCCATTATCTCCTTCTCAGTTGGTGTTTAATTAGCTTCAGAGTCTTTGTATCCCCGGCTCCAAAAGCCCAGAGGTCGGCCTCAGGTTTCCCCAGGTGCTCTCTGCCAGAGGCTCCATGTAGGGCCATTCTCCCTGGCTCCGGTGTAGAGCATGTTCTTAATCTCCTGCCCTTCCCGGACTGGCCTAAGGGCTACAGCTTGGGCAATCTCCCATTTAATCTGTTCAAAGGATTGTTGTTGATCAGGGCCCAATTCAAAATCGTTCTTCTTACTGGTTATGTGGTAGAGAGGGCTCACAATCAGGCTGTAGTTCGGGATGTGCATCCTCCAGAACCCCACAGCGCCCAGGAAAGACTGAGTCTCCTTTTTAGAGGTTGCTGGGGCAATGGATGTTATCTTGCTTATCACTTCTATTGGGATGTGGCGACGCCCATCTTGTCACTTTATCCCTAGGAATTGAATTTCCCTTGCAGGCCCCTTAACTTTCTTTTGCTTAATGGCAAAGCTGGCCTTCAGGAGGATTTCAATTATCTTCTTCCCTTTCTCAAAGAC